ATCATTTTTGCTAACTTCTGTACTTTTATGGAACTAGAATCCTACAGCGATGACTTTTTGGGTATGTACTGACTTCTTTTGCTCCACATCAGGTCTGTGAGATTTATCCATGTTGCTGTGTAGAGCAATATGCTCATTTGTGCTGCTTGCTACATGCTGGTATTCTACTTTGTCACTTTACCACAGCTTACCTATCGGATCTGCCTCAGAGAGACGTTTGGACTCATACCAGTTTGGGGCTATTATGAACAGTGCAGTTAGAAACATTCTTGCACAAATAAAAGAGAAAGGAGGGGAGAGGGAGGAGGAAGAAAAAACGAAGGGAGGAGAAAAGAAAGAAAAGAAAAAAGAAGCATTCTTGCACATATTCCGGTAGACGTAAGCTCTTGTTTCTGTTGTGTTCATGCCCAGAAGCGGAATTGCTACATCCTAAGTTATGCGTATGATCATGGCCAGTACGGTACTGCCAGTTTGTCAACATACTTTTACCAATTTATATATGCACAAACATCCGTGAAAGTTTCAGTCGCTCTAGATTTTCATCAGTACTTGATCTTGTTTCACTTGTTTTTAATGTTTTTTATTTATTTATTTTAAATTTTTTTAATGTTTTATTTATTTCTGAGAGAGAGAGAGAGACAGCATGAGCAGGCGAAGGTCAGAGAAGAGGAGACACAGAATCGGAAGCAGGCTCCAGGCTCTGAGCTAGCTGTCAGCACAGAGCCCGGCCCGGGGCTCAAACCCACAAACTGTGAGATCATGACCTGAGCCGAAGTCAGATGCTTAACCGACTGAGCCACCCAGGTGCCCTGTTTATTTATAATTTTTGAGAAGGAGAGAGAGAGACGGACAAAGGATCCGAAGCAGGCTCGGTGCTGCCAGCAGAGAGCCCTGCGCATAGCTCCAACTCACTGTGAGATCATGACCTGAGCCAAAGTCGGATGCTTGACTGACTGAGCCATCCAGGGGCCAGAGCACTTGATCTTGTCAGACATTTTCACTGTAGCCTTTCTTGTTGAGTGTCTTTGTATATTTACACTTCATTTTCTTCTTATTCCCTATAGGCTCTAAGTGTTACTGTTTTCCTGGGTTTAGTTATTGCAATTTTTAAAAAATATTTATTATTTTTGAGCGGAAGAGAGAGCATGCAAGTTCACACACATGTGTGCAAGAGGGCAGAGAGAAAGAGAGAGAGGAGAGAAAGAATCCCAAACAGGCTCTGAACTGTCAGTGCAGAGCCCCACGCTGGGCTCTATCTCACGAACCGTGAGATCATGACCTGAGCTGAAACCAAGAGCTGGACAGTTAACTGCCTGAGCCACCCAGGCAACCCTAGTTATTATAATGATTAATAGTACATAACTGATCAAAACAACACTTATCCCTCCTCCCTACCCCCACCTTTGCTTCAGGCACGCCCCTTTCGACCACTCACTATTGTATTGGAAACAATAGGTGGTGGAAGGGGACGCTTAGGGTGGGATTTTGCTTTGTTATTCTATGTCTCCAAGGTCTTTCCCAATACTCTGCACACAGGAGGTGCAAAATATTGTATAAATACATGAAAGTATGATACGAAAGCCCATCCGTTTGTCTCCACCCCATTTTGTGAGCCATTCCCAACCACTGGAGGGCAAGCAAGGGTCTTAACTCATAGCAGGCCTTAGACCTGGCACTGGAGAATCGTTTAATAAACAGTGTATGCTACACCAGACTGGCCTCTGGAGGCCTGGCGTTTGAGGCTCCCGCCCACTGCCCTGCCTCACACAGCCCCAGGCCATTAAGCCTGAACACACACACGATGATTATAGTCCAATTGTTACAATATCCCTGAGACTATTAATTATAAATATGGCACATTATTACCCTATTACAACGTGGGGCAGATCTTGGCACACTGGGCAGGAATGTGTTGGTGTGAAAGCTCACTTCAAACGGGGTCCAGGCTCCAGGCATCCAATAAGCTGTGGGGCCTGAGCATAGACCACATCTAGCTCTAGGGCTTGGAGGTTAGAGTTTTCCCTTGCACTGTCTCCTCTGGTCCTTCCTCCTTCCCAGTCAGGCAGACTAGCTATACATTGGGACATAATGGTACCCCTTTATAGGGTTGTTTGGAGATTAAATGAGTTAACATATATGAAGTGCTTAGCCCAGTGCCTGGCACAAAGCAAAGTACAGGGTAAGCAGTAGCCCTTTTTATTACTGCTGTTGTTATTAACAGCAGCTGCAGGAGTGAGGAAGGCTGGGTGACCATGAACTTCATGGCCCTAGGCTACAAGGAAAAGAGCAGAAGTTGAGCACAGGGAGAGCGTGTGATCTTCATCCATATAATCACTTCCACCACTGATTAGACTAGGAATGCCAACAATTAGTTTTCCTGTGAGGAGGTGGGAGGCGGTGCTTGGCCATCAGCTTAGTGACGGTGCTTCCTGGAAAGCTAATGACCTCAAGGTCTACGTGACTCCATTCCTAGGAGACTCTTATTAGGCCAGAAGACATGCTGTGCAATCTGAATCGGCCCAGCTGGGTAATTTCTGCCTGCTGGAAGGGCTCTGTCAGAACCTAGAGGAGGCCCCTGGTGCATTGGGCAAGCTGCCACTGGACACACCCAACTGTTGACTCCCTGGGACAGGAGCAGTAGGCAGAGGCCTCCAAGGAGCTGGTCACTGGAAGAACCTCCATCGGTCCCCCCTCACTAAGACAGGGACCCAGTTCTGCTCACTCCTTGAACTGGTTCAAATGGGATGCCACCCATGGCCAAGAAACCAACATGGGAATGCCCAATGCTGCCTTGGGAGAAAATAGAGGGCCTTTCCCACAAAATTCTCCCAACCCGTGTGTGCCCCTTGGCTTTCTGAACCCCTCACTTTGAGTTACAAAAGGAGCCCGTACAGAAAAGGGGGAATCGGGCTGGGATGAACAAGATTGGCTGTGAGTCCATAATTATTAAAGCTGGGTGATAAGCACATGGCAGGTTCTCCTTCTGTTTTCTCGTATATATACTTCTTATATACATTTCTTACATTCTATTTTTGTGTGTTTGAAAGCTTTCCATCATAAACAACATTCCTTAAAAGAAGCTGTGAATAATCTAAAGCCTGGCAGAGTAAAGGGCATCTTCTTGGGCTCTGACCAGAAAGTCCCCCTAAATCCGACGAAATCTGAGTGTATCCAGCAAGGAAAATAAGGGGAGGGTATGGCACTGGTCTGGTTTCAGTACGTTATCAAGCAAGGTCTGTGTCTCCCAAGGAGAGAGAAGCCATAGTGGCTCATGGGTTTTGAGGGAAATGTTTTAGCAGGAGAGACAAGGTAGAGAAGGATTGATAAATGTATTTTGACAGCTGGTGAGTCCACCCCAATGGATCAGGATGGCACTGGGCCTCTGGCCCCACCCCGGCCTTCACCCTGAGGTGAAGTGTGCTTTCCTAAGTCTCCCAGTATGGGTGGCTGGGCCTGACACTGAGGGTAGAGGTTCTCTGTCCCTTCCCGGGGGTCTGACCTCCACATGGTCCAGGCCATGGTGGTGGGAGTAACCTGTGTCATCCTCCTGCAGCTGAAAGTCACACTTCAAACCCAAGATTCCTGACATCTCACACATCTTACCAACTATCCCAAGCCCTCTCCTGGCCACAGGCTTCATTACATTGGCCAATTCCCAACCCTGCTTCAAGTTGGCATTTTAGAGGCCTTCAGTTGACAGCAGCCAAAATAGGGATGCTGTTCCATGTAGGCCAGATTAGGGCTTCTCAGCAGCATCATTTGAAAAACCCCCCACTCAGTTCAGCATCTGACTCTGATTTTGGCTCTGGTCATTTCCCCAGGGCCCTGGGCTTAAGCCTCATGTCAGGTTCTGGGCTATCAGCTTAAGATTCTCTCTCTCTTTCTCTCTCCCTCCCTCTGCCCCTCTCCCCTGGCTCATGTGCTCTCAATCTCTCAAAAAATTTTTTAAAAATCTGAAAATTGCCTGGTAGGTCCCTGAATGATTCCTACACACCTTATGCAAAGGTATCTCCCATGTGGCTGGTCATTGTGCTTGAAATTCCACCAGCTGAGTAGAATCCTTTGGGACTACACGTTACTTTCTTGAGATACTCTTTTCCAAAACTACCCTGGGACGGTTACACATCAAAACTAGTACCGGGGGTGATGTCTGGCTGGCTTAGTCAGTAGAGCATGTGACTCTTGATCTTGGGATTATGAGTTGGAGCCTCATGTTGGGTGTAGAGATTACTCTGAATGAATGAATGAATGAATGAATGAATGAATGAATGAATGAAAATTTAAAAAATACTAAAACTGGTACCTGTCCATGAATTGCTTACTGACCTGGGTATCTGATAATGAAGGAGGGCACAGAGGGCTGGTTGAGAGGAAGGGTGATGGGGAGTGGTGCAGACAGCTTGGGTAGGGACCTCTCCTGATTTTAGGGTGCAGGGCGGGAGGGTTGAAAAGAAATTCAGAGGGAAAGGGACAGGTCATTTAAGGTAGAGGTCACTGAAGCCCCCTAGGGCAGTACAAAAAAAGACCATACTAGCCAAAGTCTGGTACAAAACTTACCAGCTGACAGTTTGGGGAGGGGGAATTACACAGCTACTACCCCAGCATCTCCCCAGGGTGCTGTCTGTCTCTTGCAGAGCACAGGACTGGAAGTGGCTTCTGGGGCTCCTATGCCTGCTTCTTATCCAGAGAGGACTGCCTGAAAAGAACCCATGAAGATATGCTGGGGCCCCAACCCCCACCCTGCACAGCTTCGCCTGTAGACATGACTCCCTCCCCACTCCCCGACTCCTCAATGCACGGGATGAGTAAGGAGCAAATATAAAGAGGGTGAGAGAAGGTAGCAGGGTCTGAATCTGCCTCATAAGGTGTAGCCAAGCTCTCCAGCCCCTCCACATTTACAGCAACATGCATCCAACACTTAATAAATGCCAGGAACCATTCTAAGGTTCATATAGATAAACTCATTTAATCCTCATCACACTAGAAAATTTATTTTCATCTACATATAAAATTTTACTATTCATCCTCGTTTGACAGCTGAGGAAACTGAGGCACAGAGAAGTTAATAGAGAGCACAGTGACAGAGCACAGAGTGAAATTTCAAGTGGGTGCAGGCCCAGGCCATCCCACACTACAGAGTTGCACCCTTACCCACCAGCCATTCTGCCTCTTACACCCTCATGTCTCCCGGGCTGAGCAGGGGAGAGGTACGGGAAGCTATCAGCAGTCACCTACTCTGGCGGAAGGCAGGCACTTGACAAACAACTTGCGTGCTTCAATCTCAGAAGAGCTCAGTGGAAATGAGCCATGATACTCACTGGCCATGTGGGGAAGCAAAACCAGAGAAGTCTGATCATCCTGTTAAGGCCACACAGCACAGGAAGGGGTGGAGCTGAAATCCAAACCTTGGCCTGAGCTCACCCTGGCAGGCGTCTCCTCCCCAAACCCCCTTCCCCACCACCACCAAGCTAAAGACCATGGAGACCAGAGGGAGGGAAAGGGAAGACGGGGGTGAGAAGGCTGGAGAGGGGCTTCAGAGACAGTCCTCAGGCCTAGCAGCTGCCTTAGGTTCCCCAGGGGTCCAGGGGAACCTCTGAACGTCCCCCACTTCTTGGGGGACCTCAAGCAGCCGGATCCCTGGAGATGGATTGTGCTGACGTTCCTGAGGCTTTTAGGGTCTCGAGCAAGGTCCTGGGGGGTCCCCCACCCTGCACATCTGCTGGCTGCCAGGCACAGGGCAGAATGGGGGGTGTTTCTGACCCCCTGCATGATCTAGCAGCACCACCTGATCTGTGGACTTGAGCAAACAGGGATAGAGTCTGGATGGAGGTACCTCACCTCCTCCAGAGAATAAAGGCCGCAGCCCAGATTGCAGGGTGAGTGAGGTCTGGAGTGCATGGGGAGGGCATGGGCTGGGACAGAAATCTGGGCTGCACCCAGCCCCCTGGCACTCCTCAGACCCAGGCTCCACGAGCCCCATGAAAGGGACAAGACAGGGAGACAGCACAGTCCACGCCTGGGCTAGATGCCCCGCAGGGAAGGGAGCAGACTCAGGAGAGGGAGGCCCGAGGGGCTTCACACGCGCCGCCTATACAGCACGGCAAAGAGCGTGGCCAAGAGAACCCCGGCCGCAGCTGCCCCAAGCAATGGAGCAATGGAACCGACTGGGACAACCTCCTCCCTGCCCGGGGGCTGCGGGGCAGCAGGAGGCCTGAGACCACCCTCCATCAGGTCGACGCTGGGATCCTGGGCCACTTGGATCCTGATGGAATCCATTGACTGGTACTCATTCTCCTCCGGGGCGTTGTCGGGCCCTGTGCCCAAGGACTTGCTGCAGCTGAGGGCCAGGTCTGCAGAGCAGCCTGAGAACGGCTCGCTGTCTATGTGGGAGACCAGCCGGCCGGGCTTGCTCAGCTCCGACTCGCAGCCCCAGGTGGCAGAGCTGTGGTCTGGCCCGGGTAAGCTGTCTCCGGTGGAGGTGCCTGTGGGCTCTGGAGCCACTGGAGGAGTCTCCTGAGAAAGAAAGGAGGGGCTGGAAGGGACCGGGGATGGCCGGACACCCAAGTGGGTGGCCCCATTCCCAGCCAGGGAATGAACTAGCATCCCAACCCTCCAATGCCCAGCCCATAATAAGCGGAGGAGGCCACCCTCTCTCGGAGACCCAACCCAATGATGGTGCAGGACGGCAGTGAGAGAGGAGGGTCCAGCCTCTGCAGCGGTATTAGTGGTGACTTTCTCCAAGGTACCCCTCTCCCTACTCACTGGCCTGCCTCCCCACTCACTGCCCCCACGCTCCTGGAGCCCTCGGCAGCTGTGGCCCCATCCTGCTTCGACATTCTGCCGGGGCTGAGGGCTATGGAGCAGCCACAGGGCTAGCGGCCTGGCCATGTGCCTAACGGGTCCCTTGGACTTGGTTCTTCCAGGCAGACAACGGGAGCAGGGCTGGATATCCTGGCCCAGAGGCGGCAGCCGTAGGGGGCTGTTGGGCCAGCGTGGCTGCCTCAGGCTGAGACTGCTATCCATAAAGTCCTGATAATGGAGAAGCAGACTGGATATCCCAGGGTGAAGAGCAAGGCATCGAGGCAGACAGGCCATCAGCTTACAGTTCCCTCATCTGCAAAATGCTGCTGCTCGGCTTAATGTGCAGCTTCGAGCTCTGAATGGGTTGATGCACATGACCAGTGGGGGTGGCCGCCACACCCAGCCCTCCTAGGAATCCACACTCAAGAGCTCTCATGATTACTCTAAAGGATTTGGTGTGGGGTCCAGAAGAGGCTGGGTCTCAGCTACCCCTATACCCTCAAAAAGAAGCCCTGGAATAGCCCAGGCTGGAGACAGAATGGAGCCTGGAAAGGGTCCAGGGATAGAGCTCGGGGTGAAAACCTGGATCACTAGTAGAGAGGCAAAGGCTCACCTCTGCGGATATGCTGCTCTCGACGGGGGACACTGTGTTGGCAGCCACCTTGGTGGGCGCTGTGCTTGTGGACATCCTGTGGTCAGGCACCAAGCCAGTAGGCACGTTGGGTGCCACTGTGCCAGCACGTGTGGAGTTGATAGGCAGTTTGGATGGTGGCAGACTGGTGAGCACGTTAGTAGACATTGTACCAGAGGGTTTCGAGCTGGTGGGCAGCTTGGAAGGCATCGTTCTATCACATGCTGAGTTGGCAGGCACTTTGGAGGGTGCTGTGCTGGTGGTCAATGAGCTGGTGGACACCCCAGCCCCAGTGCAGATGGTAGCCTCCCCGTGGTCACCAGCACCCCCTGCAGAGGCCAAGCCAGGGGAAGACAAGGAGGTGCCAGTGGGTGGGGCTGATACTGGCAAGCGGCTGGCCCTGGGAATGGAACGGCTCAGTGGCTGGAAGGAGACCGTCGGAGACACGGGCCCATAGGGTGACGTGGGGCTGGAGGCCACACCTGCAGGTGGCAAAATAAAAGGAGAAACACAAATCCACAGGACCATTACCCTAAAATCAGAGTCACCCTGGGATCAGAGAGCTGAGAAGGTCTCGGTGCCCAAGCTCAAGTCCCTACTGTGTCCAGGCCTCCCAACATCCTACGCATGGAGTCTCCACAGTCCCTTTGGACATTGCTCCCAGGCCCTGAGGTCCAACAGCTGCAGGCACATCCTCGGCCCTTTCTATCCTTAGTCCTTGACCTAAAGCCGAGTCTGTTCTCTCATAAGAATGAATGGTCCCTCCCCTTAACAGCATCCAGGAGGTTGAAGATCATTAATTATCCTCTCCTCTTTCTTCTCCTGCCTGGGACACCCTCCTTTCCTCCTGTGTCTGCTCATTAGCTTGGTGGGATGTTGGATGCTCTGCTACCTTCCCCTCCCCCGCCAGCAGGAGCCATCCTGGATCAGGACCAGGGGCAGCATGGTGGCTCAGCAGGTGGTGACAGCCCATAAAGGCATTTATATCCAGATGGTCCATGGAACTCTGAGAACACACCTGCCAGGCCCTACGGGCGACAAAGGCCACGCGTAATTCTGATATATCACCCCGCCCCCACCAAAATCTGACACCACAGAACCTCATGGGACCTGTGTCCACGCATGTATTGAAATCTAAGTGCCCTCTGCCTCCCTGGTCCACAGCAGCATTTCCTGAAAGGTGCCCATTGGCAAGCTGACACTGCAAAGTAAAAATGAGTGCTTGGGGTAAAAGGAGTGAAGGGCACTAAGATGGCTTCTCAGAGCCTTTAACTGTTCAAGTGCCTTGTGGCTGTCCCAGGGGCACCAAAGGCTGGTCAGACGATAGTGTCACATGGAATACAGTTTAGCAAACAATGGAGCAGAGAGATGCCAGCCTGGGAAGTCAGAGTGGACAGCCCTATATTCCCAGGGGTGGGAACTGATCTGGTTTTGGGGTCCAGGCCCTTAGCTGATGAAAATCATACTTCCTCTGGGGACTGAGAAGTTTTAGTGATTCACTGGGAGCTAGAGCCCCACTAGGGGTAGGGCAGCACCTAAGGGCTCTAAGGGCCCCTGCCAGTAGGTGGCCTGGCTCTTCCACACTGTCTTCCAGGTCCTGGTGAACCCCACAGGGTCCTCTCAGTAGAGCCCACAAGTGGCCCTAATGCTCTTCCCCTGCCTGTACCCACTTCCTCTGCAATGTGACCGTCAGTCCTCTCGTCTAGAGATGGGGTCTGTTCTCTACTCCTTGACTCTGGGCTGGCCTCGGGACTGGCCGGGGCCCACAGAATGAGGCAGGACGGAACGCTGCCAGTGTCGGGCCTTTGCCCCAGGAGCCTGCTCTCTCAGAATTCTGCTCAGCTGCCAGGAAACATAATTGATTGCTGAAAGATGAAGACTCACTGAAGAGAACCAAGGTGCCCCTGCCAACAGGCGTAAGCAGGCAGCGTGTGCATGCGTGCCGGTATGTACGCAAGAGGGGATCCAGCCAACATCCAAAAGTCTACCCTGAGCCAGCCCAGGTTGCTGACCCACTGAATCACGGGCTAAATGGTCATATTTGAAGTTACTAAATGTTGGAATGGGTTGTTACATAGAAAAAAACTGATATACCCTCAAGCAATTGGGTTGCTCCTGGGGTGAACTCCCTTTATTCCCACCCTCGCCTCCTGTCCAAGGAAGCCAGAGGGGCAACTCTAGTCTTCACCCTCTCTGGGAAGTCAGAGAGGCCCTAAAGCTCCAGATCACACACATACCTGCCGTGCGGGCCCTGCCCGGTTCTGCGTCCTCCTCCTGATGCCCAATGGAGGTCAGAGGGCTGAGGGCTGCCATGTCAGAGGAGGGCTCCGGGGGGCCAGCTGGCCTCCTCAGGACAGCCCCAGAACTGGGTGTCTGCGGGACTTTCTTTGAACTCTGCACGAGGGAAAATGCAAATGAGGCAGCTGCTTCTCCCAGGAGCAGGCATCTCTTACTGGCCTCGGCCAGCGCCACGGAGCACAGAACCCAAGGAAGCCCCTCACCCCGGCTTTGATCATTGCCAGACCCTCTGTCTACAGGAACCTACCTCACAGAGGACACACACCATCCCATGGGGAGTCTCTAGGCATCTGCCTGGTACTATCAAAGGTCCCCCTCTCTGAGGCCACTGCACAGGCCCCTTTCTTGGGCTTCAGGTCCATGGTCGGGTGTCTCCTGAACACCCTGCTGCCAGCTCATCACATCTCAATAGAATCAGCCATTTCCCCCCCAAACTTGACTTTACTGGCAATAACTACTCCATCTACCCTCTACCCCATCACCTCCTGCTTCCCCAGTACTCCTCCACTGGTCATTCTCTGGGCCTTCGATCCAGCTCAACATCTTACATGGACCACTGCAAAGACCTCCAAACTGGGAGCTCACAGCTGGTTGCTAAGAGGGTTGGGGGATGCCATAGGGTGAGGCCCTAGTCAGCAGTCTGAGAGCTGGTCTGGGGCATATCTCCATTTGGGGAGCCCTAAGGTTCTGAGCAGAGGTCAGGCATGACTTGTGGTGGGGGCAGGAGAGAGCTTCTAGAGGCTGGCCAATCAGAAACACAAAAGCAGGGACCCAGACTAGATGTGAGGACGCACGCACCTCTCCCAGGGACTCTGGTGGCTGAGTTTCCTGGACAGGCATGGGGAAACTTGGCTCCTCCTCTCTGTAGCCGTTGTGGGGGGCGCTGGGGGCCACGGCAGGTATGGGGGGCCCCGGCACCTGAGCAGGAGCTAACTGTGGCTCGAGTGAGGCTGCGGGGTGGTTCTTTGGGACCCCTGGAGGACAAAGGTACAGTGAGGCCAAGGAGGAGTCAGGGGAGCTCCCAGTGACAGGAGAGGCCTGGGTGCTCCTGGACCCCCATGGCTATAGGCCCCCGACAGCTCCAAAAGCTGTCCTGAGGTGGGATGTACTCCTTAGAAGAGACAAGATTCACTGAGTGGGAGGCCGTAGCAGGAGGGAGAGAGGAAGTAGGGAGGACAAAGACAAGAAGGGGTAGAAGGAGTGGGGTGGGGAATGGGGTTGGGGAGCATGCAGGGTGCCTCACAACCCAGGCCTCTCCCAACCCAGACAGGGTCAGCAGTCACCACTTCTCTGTCCCCAGCATTCTGGAACCCAGTGGCTTTCTTCTCCTCTTTGTGGGTGGCTATCACCCCTAACCAACCCCCAACCTGACCTCTCACCCCTAACTAACCCCTGATCTGACACTGTTTCCTCAAGAAAGAAGGGAGGAAAAAAAGCAAACGGGGCGGGGGGTGGGGGTGGGGGGCTGTTCTAAGGCTTTAAATCTGAGAGCAGGGTCTCAGCAGTCATCTCTAGTCCAAAACATAAATAGGGCTGGCTTGAGTTTTCTCCTTTCTTGTCCCCTCAGACCTGCCCTCACCAGACCCCTCTGGGCACTTGGCCTGGCAGGGAGCACTGAAAGGGAGCTGAGGAGTAACTGGGCAGCTGGAGTGGGGGACCTAGAAGGCTCCAGGGGAAGCTAGGGGGAGAGGAAGAGGTGAGGGAAAGGAAGAAGGAACCCATTAGGGAGGAAGAAAGAGGAGACATGAAGGGAGGGGAAGACAAGAGAGGAATGGAGAGAGGGAAGGTGAACTGAGGGAGAAGAGACAGGAGGAAGTGAGAAAGGGATGGGAGGCAAATGCCACAGCCACAAAAATTAGAGGAAGCCCCATTTGCTGAGCACATGGGAGGTACCCAGCCCCAGCTAAGCACTCAGCACGCCATCCATTGTCCCATGGTATCCACCTCAGCCCTATGATGTAGATGTCTGGCCATTAGCCCCATTTTACAGAGGAGAAGTCTGAGGCTTAGGGAAATTAAGGTACTTCACCAAAGGGACATGGCTAACAAGAGGCTAAGCTGGACACCCAGGTTTGTCCACTGCCCAGGAGTGATGGGAAGGAAGGCGACAGTGGAAGGCAGGAGGTGCAGGGGTGAGGGAACAGGCAGAGTAGAGGCCAGGGGAACAGACAGGAGTTCCGTGAGGAGGCCAGGGCAAGAAGCTCACCGAGCAGGTTGCTCTGGTAGACAGAGGCCACTTCGTTAGCAAGCGCAGTCAGCTCACAGATCCTCAGAGCCTTGATGAAGGATTCCACCCAGCCAGTCCGCCGCCGAAGACTGTCGAAGAGCTCCCAGAGGGTGCCCTGGTTCCCCCAGAGCTGGCAGTGGGCCCGCAGTCGGTCCTGGAAGGCACAGCCAGATGCCCTGCTCAAGCCAGGTGGCCCTGGCCCCTTCCACACTCAGGAAGGGACAGCTGGAGAGAGATACCAAGTAGCCACAAGTGCGAGGCAGCCATGTGAAACCAGGTCAGAGCCCAGGACAAGGCAAGGCAGCTTCCGGGAAGTAGGCCCTTACTGTGTGCCAGGCTCTGAGCTCAGGACTCTGCGTGAATGCCATTACCCTACTCTACTGGGGAGGAACCTGGCAGAAGTAAGGTAACAAAGATCTTACAGCTGTAGGACAGGAGTCCCAACCCAGTTCGTTTGTCACCAAAGCCTAGGGTTTGTTTATGTAGCTCCCAAGGCAAAAAGAAAGGGTTTGGATTAGCAGAGGAGGAAAAGGGTACATAGGGAACAGGAGATGAAAGAAGGCAAAAGGAGGGGCGCCTGGGTGACTTAGTCAGTAAAGCGTCCGACTTTCGCTTAGGTCATGATCTCGCGGTTCGTGGGTTCGGGCCCCGCGTCGGGCTCTGTGCTGACTGCCAGCTCAGAGCCTGGAGCCTGTTTCAGAGTCTGTGACTCCCTCTCTCTCTGACCCTCCCCTGCTCACGCTGTCTCTCTCTCTCTCTCCTAGAAATAAATAAAAACATTTAAAAAATTTAAAAAAAAAATGCTGACCTTTGGATTATCGACATTCTCCTTAATAATTCTCTATTGGAAGGGGGAAATTGGTGCCTTTATTTACACACCCTCCCACCCAACAGCACTTGATGAGGGAGAGTTTTCAGCAAAAACAAGTGCTGCTGTTGGGTAGGGTGGGGAGGAGNACTCCCTCTCTCTCTGACCCTCCCCTGCTCACGCTGTCTCTCTCTCTCTTTCTCCTGGAAATAAATAAAACATTTTAAAAAGAAAGAATGAAAGAAAGAAGGCCAAAGGAGAAGAGAGGGAGCTAAGAATCAGGAGGACGGGGCACTGGGAGGTTCCGATGAGGAATCGGGGTGGCAGAGGTTTTAAATCCTACGTGCAGCCTGAATTCCCACACGCAGACAAGCAACCAGACAGCAGAAGTGAAAACTCACAGAAAACGTTTACTGCAGAACTGGTCACTCCGCAGTCCCGCAAGCCCCCCAGATGCAAGGCGGGGGAGCAGACCCCATCAGCCACAGGCCTCTCCACTGCCATGGCCACCTCACCGCTGCCACCTCAGCCCCGTGGAGGCAGCAGGGGGCCCGGGCCATCTGGAAGCAGCTGTAACTTGGAGGCCGCTGGCCCCGCTTCACTTGGGACCACAGCCAGTTCTGAGAGACTAGGGTGGTCTGGCTCCCACGAACTCTCAAAACTGAGCCCTGGACTCCCTGCTAGGACAGGACTCCATGACAAGGAGAATGGAGTGAAAACTGAGCAGGAGTAATGACAAGACAGACCGAAGAAAAGGAAGGTTCCCACGGAAGCAGAAGGGATTGAAGTCCAGAAATCTCGGGCAGCTGGCACCGTATTTTTTTAAGCACTTCACCAAATGGACACGAGAGGGCGCCCAGCCATGTTGGAAAGGCCATCCTGACCTACACTTTATTCAGCAAAGTTAGAGAAGCGTCAAGGTCAGGAAGCAGCATGCAGGCAATGATGGAGAAGGAAGGAATTGGCCCTGACTTTGGGGGAAGCTCACAGCCCTGCCCTGAGTCAGTGGCTGGCTGTCATGTCCCAGCTCACCTGGTCACTTATTGTGAGGCAGGACAGATAAGGCAGAATCTCCGGAACATGAATACGACCAAAATTGCTGTAATGTTTGCGGATATACTTGAAGGTCTCATCCTCGGCAAACGTCATCGCTGTCCAGGTTCTGAAGTGACAGAGGGCTCTGGCCCAAAAAAGGACGGACTGAGAGGGGGATAGGCTGGAAGAAAACACACCACATATAGCAACAGAGTTGGGAGTGGGATCGGCCCAAAGGCAATTACTTCTTTCTTTCTCAACTCTTTGGAATGTGTTGCTTCTTTCTTTAATCATCCAATTTTATTACTGGCCAAGTCCAGGGGCCCTCAAAAAATAAAAAATGAATTGATGACCAAAAGAAATAAGATCCAGAAGATCTAGGCTCCATTTCTGCCCTGTAGGTTGGTTGGTATTTGCAGAGAGTTCTGACTCCCTGCCATTGTCCTAAGGTCGATATGTGACCCTCATCACTGAAAGCAAGAAGTGCTGCTGCTTTGGGGTGTACTAGGAAAAAAAAAGCCCAAAATGATAATAATGGGATCATGCTACTTTAAAGGTGAAGAAAATGAAGTACCAAGAAATGAAGAGCTTGCTAGTTTGTAGCTCTTCAGGCTTCATGATCAGTTTCTTTCCAGAACATGATTGCAGGCCCACCATTAAAGTTTGTCACATACATGTTCTTAGGGTAGGAGACTGAGTTCCAATCACTATGTGTGATCTGGGGCAAATTACCAGTCTTTTCCAGGCTTGTCTTCACCCCTAAAACGGCTCAGAGAGCTTATTTTGACAATACAATAGTTCAACCTAGTAAGCTTGACATTTACAAGCGCCTCAATTACAAGCAATTGCCTTAAGTAGCACTTACCACAATTTGCAATTATAGATGGGGCTGTCTGCAAATTTCTTACCTGCTTCCCCCCTCAGGGAGAGCTGTAGGGAATAAGAGGGACAAGATCTCTGCCATCATCCAATTTATATTCTATTGAGGTGGGACAGATAACAAATCAGTAAATATACATATAAATAAGAATTCCAATTAATAATCAAGGTTATAAAGAAAATAAAACAGGATAAGAAGACAGAACTCCCAGAGAAGGGCATGCTTCATAGGCAGAGTTGGTCAGAAGTCTTTCTGAATTAATGACATTCGAGACGAGCCATCCTGGGCTGTGAGATCAGTGTTTTGGTCAGAGGGCACAGCAAATTAGAAGCCCTCTAATTTGGGCTGGAAATAAGCTTGACATATTTAAAGAACAGAGAGCAGGGGCGCCTGGGTGGCTCTGTCGGTTAAGCGTCTGACTTCGGCTCAAGTCATGATCTCACGGTTCGTGGGTTTGAGCCCCGTGTCGGGCTCTGTGCTGACAGCCAGCTCAGAGCCTGGAGGCTGTTTCAGATTCTGTATCCACATCTCTCTCTCTGACCCTCCCTTGCTCATGCTGTCTCTCTCCCTCTCTCAGAAATAATAAAACATTAAAAAAAATTTTTTTTTAAATAAAGAAAGAACAGAGAGCAGGTCTGGGTGGTCCAGGTTTAAAAAACTAAAGGGAGGGGCTGAGATCAAGGTCAAGGAGGTTGGCTTCTGTGGGGTGTTGCAGGAAAAGACTTGAGTTTTGGGGGGTTTTCTTTGGAATGAAATGGGGAGCCATTAGAAGCTTCTGAGCAGGGAAGGGAGAGGATTTGACTTATGTTAAAGACCTCATTGGTAGTTGTTAAGAGATAGACTGTGGAGGGACCAGGAAGGAGGACAAATCAGGAGGTTAAAGCAGGGGGCCACATGATAGGTATGGCCAGAATGCCAGCCATGGAGGCGGGGAAAGGTGGCTGGATTCCTAGTGTGTTGTACATGTGGGACATGAAGAGGAAAGTAGGATCAAGGATGATTCCTCAGGCACTAGGTACATGGATGGTGCCATTTATCAAGCCAGAGAATCAGGTGGGCAAGTTGTGCCACAGAAAGGACTCCAAAGATCCATTTCGAAAAAGTTTAAGAGGGGGTGCCTGAGTGGCTCAGTCGGTTAAGTGACCTGCTTCGGCTCAGGTCATGATCTCGCGGTTTGTGGGTTCGAGCCCCGCGTCGGGCTCTGTGCTGACAGCTCAGAACCTGGAGTCTGTTTCAGATTCTGTGTCTCCCTCTCTCTCTGACCCTCCCCTGCTCATGCTGTCTCTCTCAGAAATAAATAAAACAGTTTTTTAAAAATTAAATTAAAAAAAAGAAAAAGCTTAAGAGGTTATTAGGTGCCCAAGTGGGTTTTCTGGGAAGGAAGGGATCAGAAGAGAGAGGGTCAGCCTGGAGCAAAAATGTGGTGTCTGTCTGGGTGGGACTCTAGGAGACAGTGCTGCAGAGCAGAGCTGAGGCCACCAGTCCCTCACCACATTGGAAAGGGGGCAAAAGTCCTGTCTACCGGCCTCATAGCCTCGTATGTCTGCCTCCCTTTGCCAGCCCCACCAGGTGCTACATTCCTGGTGGGGCAAGTGTTAATGACAGAGGTCAAGAGGATCAAGGAGGTGGGGTGGGAGTCCTCTGAGCCTTCAGGAGATGTGCAAAGAACACTATGGTGACTAAGTGACCCTTTTCTCCTTCCCTCCCATGGCATCCCGGGAGGTACCAGGACAGAATCAGGTAACACGTTGTTCTGCATCTCAGCCCTTAGTCACACAGTTTGGGGACTATGGAAATATAACGTGCTCCAACCGAAAAGAAAGGAAACCCATGTTTGTTCACATTTATTGACGGTCCACTTAGGCAGGCATATCCTGGGTTTCTTTCATTTAGGAGAGGAGAAATGATGCCAGGTTGCACTGGCAGACCAGTGACTGGGACAGGATTTGAACTCAGGACTTGTTGCCTCCTTGCCGCTCACTATACACCTTGCAGAACATGGGGACAGCTGCGGCAACTGTGACTCACAGCCCTAGAGGGACCAAGGCCACTGCCTGGATGAGGGGGGTTGCTAGGTGAGGGTGCCCCTGGGAGGCTGCTATATTTAGTACTTTGGGGCGAAATGGACATCCTTCTGACAAGGCTGAGCGCATTCTAACCTGCCCTCTACAGCAGTCACGGTTCTCAGGTAGCCGACTATCCTTCGAGAAGTTACTGAGGCTCCACAGAGCACAGAAGGAGAACGTGGTTGTTCGTTGGGGGGGGGGAGGGGGGGAGGTTGTGTTTCTTTTTTTCTTCAATGTCTTCCTAGCACCTCCTAGCGGTCTCAGAGAAGAAGAAGGGCGGACCAACGCTGCGAGGAGAGCTTCCTACCCGACAGCCTCGGAGGCTCTGAGTGCGTCCCAGAAAGAAATAATCTTCGGGCAGGAGGGGCGAGGTCTCCCTGCTTTGGCTCGGATTCCTGGATGGGACCAGGCCTGCGGAGGCGGGAGGCTGTTCTGAGCAGGTGTCATCGCCGAGAATTGTCAAGACCTCGGGACGGACGGCGGCCCGGACCCCTAGGGGTGGCAGCGGCTCGGGGAAGTTGGCGCATCTCCTGGCTAGGCCTCGTCCCGGGGTCACCCTCGGCCTGCCAGCGGCTCGAGTAGCTCAGCTGCCGCCGCTTCCTTCCCGCACAACCTCCCTTCCAGCCCGGCAGACACCCCGCGCCACCCCCGGTGCTGCCTGAGGCTCGTGGAGCTCTAGCTGCCGCGAACCGCGCGTGCCCTTAGGACCAGCTCTCCCCCAGCCGCGTGCTGCCAGTCCTGTCCCCGGACCCCCGCGGGCCCCAGACCCCGTGCGCCCCGGCGGACTCTGAGTCCATACTCGGCTTTTGCCGCCGCTGGTCACCTCCCGGGGAGGCGTCCGCGCGCTCTGAGCCGACGGGACCGAGCGCCCGGGGCGGCTAGCTTACCTCGGGTAGCCACGACCCGGCGACAGGCCGACCTCCCCAGACAGGCCGGAACCCTTCCCCACAGGGTGGGGAGGCTGGGAAAGGGCGGGACCGCGCGGCCATTGGCCAGACGGCGGGGCGGGGCTTCGCGGTCCGGCGGAGGCCCTGGGCGGCGCGGGTGGATACTTGGCTTTGGCCTGGGGGGCCTGAACTTGCTGGACTGGCGCTTCGGAACGACCTGTGTTCCTGCTGGGGGCAGGGGAGGGGGACAGAAGACAACACGGTTTTCTTCCCGTGTTTGTCTTCAGCTGGGAGAAATCCAGAGTCTGGCTAGAATCCAAGTGGATGGCCGACCTCGGAGTCAGTGGTCCCCATGCTTCCTGCTCCTCCTGCCCACTAATTTGAGGAGTAAGAGTCATTATGTCGTTTGTACCTGGGTGCCCAGGGCCTGGCATACAGTCAGTGCTCAATAAATATCGAGTGACACCAAAGTTCACACGGGGGCGACGCCAGTGCTGGGCCCAAGGAACCAGAATCACGGTGGACGGAGGCTGGGTAGAGGAAAGCTGGGCAGGGGCGCCACTGTCGGCTTGCCCAGCCTCCTGGGTGTGGTTCTTGAGTGCCGTGTGGGAAAGGCCTCTCTGCCCAAGGGTCTGGGGCAGGTACCTCCCCACAGTGCTTCAAGCAGAGGCCAGCAATTATTGAGCCCCCACTGTGTTCCAGGTACAGGCTTACTTAAAGTCGTATACCTTAGAGCCACTACTCTCACAATAACCGGGCAGAGATTTATTTTCCCTGTTTTAAAGAGGGATTAAAAGACTTCAGAAAATGTTTGGCAGTTCTTACTGAAGTGAAACATGCCAACTCTATCACCCAGCCACCACTCCTGGTTGTGTATCCATCTAAAACTATGCACAATATGGGACACCTGGGCAGCTCGGTCCCTTGAGTATCCGACTTTGGCTCAGGTCATGATAATGATCTCATAGCTTGTGGGTTTGAGCCCCTCCCCCCCAACTGGCTCTATGCTGACAGCTCAGAGCCTGGAGCCTGCTTCAGATTCCCTGTCCCCCTCTCTTTCTGCCCTGCCCCTGCTCATGCTCTCTCTCTCAAAAATAAACATAAAAAAATTAAAAACATGCACAATAACTAATGTTCCTAGTGGTTTTGCTCACAATAGGCAAGCTATGGAAACAACCCAAAGGTCTGTCAGCAGGAGAATGAGGAGACAAACCGCAATGTTCTCACATTGTGGAATAGTATACAGCAGTGAAAAAGAACAATCAGTTAATACACATAACATGGGTGAATCTCACCCGGATAAATGGACACTATGGCTAACTAAGTCAAGCACAAAGAGTACATGATGTCTGTCCCTCTAGTTGCAAGGTAAGGCAAGGTTCAAAAACAGGCAAATCTCATCTACATAAACAGAAATCATTCACTGGTTACTTCTGTGGTGGGGTACATGGGAACCTTTGTAGGGGATGGAAACTTCTGTATCTTGATATGAGTGGCAGGTACAAGGGCTTGTGAATATATAAAAATGCATCAGCTGTACACTTAGGATTGTTACACCTTTTTTTAGTGTGTGGTAATGTGTTTTTTTTTCTTGTGATGGTTTTTTTAATTTTTTAAATTTACATCCAGGTTAGTTAGCATAGGTGCAACAATGATTTCAAGAGTAGATTCCTTAATGTCCCTTACCCATTTAGCCCATCCCCCCTCCCACAACCCCTCCAGTAACCCTCTGTTTTATCTCCATATTTAAGAGTCTCTTATGTTTTTGTCCCCCTCCCTGTTTTTACATTATTTTTGTTTCCCTTCCCTTATGTTCATCTGCTTTTTATCTTAAAGTCCTCATAGGACTGAAGTCATATGCTATTTGTCTTTATCTGACTAATTCTGCTTAGCATGATACCCTCTAGTTGCATCCATGTTGTTGCAAATGGTAAGATTTCATTCTTGTTGATTGCTGAGTAATACTCCATTGTATATCTATATACTACATCTTCTTTATCCATTCATCCGTCGATGGACATTTGGGCTCTTTCCATACTTTGGCTATTGTTGATAGTGCTACTATAAACATTGGCGGTGCATGTGTCCCTTTGAAACAGCACACCTGTATCCCTTGGATAAATACCTAGTAGTGCAATCGCTGGGCCATAGGATAGTTCTATTTTTAATTTTCTGAGGAATCTCCATACTGTTTTCCAGAGTGGCTGCACCAGTTTGCATTCCCACCAGCAGTGCAAAAGAGATCCTCTTTGTCCGCATCCTCGCCAGCATCTGTTGTTGCCTGACTTATTGATTTTAGCCACTCTGACGGGTGTGAGGTGGTATCTCACTGCGGTTTTGATTTGTATTTCCCTGATGGTGAGTGATGTTGAGCATCGTTTCATGTGTCAGTTGGCCACCTGGATGTCTTCTTTGGAGAAGTGTCTGTTCATGTCTTTAGCCCATTTCTTCACTGGATTATTTGTTTTTTGGGTGCTGAATTTGATAAGTTCTTTATAGATTTCGGATACCAACCCTTTATCTGATATGTCATTTGCAAATATCTTCTCCCATTCTGTTAGTTGCCTTTTAGTTTTGCTGATTGATTGTTTCCTTTGCTGTGCAGAAGCTTTTTATTTTGTTGAGGTCCCAATAGTTCATTTTTGCTTTTGTTTCCCTTGCCTCTGGAGACGTGTTGAGTAAGAAGTTGCCGCAGCCAGGGTCAAAGAGGTTCTTGCCTGCTTTCTCCTCGAGGATTTTGATGGCTTTCTGTCTTACATTTAGGTCTTTCATCCATTTTTAGTTGATTTTTGTGTACGGTGTAAGGAAGTGATCCATGTTCATTTTTCTGCAAGTCGCTGTCCAGTTTTCCCAGCACCACTTGCTGAAGAGGCTGTCTTTATTCCACTGAATATTCTTCCCTGCTTTGTCAAAGATGAGTTAGCCATACGTTTGTGGGTCCATTTCTCGGTTCTCTACTGTGTTCCATTGATCTGAGTGTCTGTTTTTGTGCCAGTACCATATTGCCTTGATGATTATAGCTTTGTAATACAGATTGAAGCCTGGATTGTGATGCCTCCTACTTTGGTTTTCTTTTTCAAGATTGCTTTGGCTATTCAAGGTCTTTTCTGATTCCATACAAATATTAGCATTGTTTGTTCTAGCTCTGTGAAGAATGCTGGTGTTATTTTGATAGGGATTGCATTAAATATGTAGATTGCTTTGGGTAGTATTGACATTTTAGCAATATCTGTTCTTCCTATCCAGAAGCAGGGAATATTTCTCCTTTGTGTGTGTGTGTGTCTTCTTCAATTTCCTTCATCAGCTTTCTATAGTTTTCAGTGTATAGATTTTTCACCTCTTTGGTTATGTTTATTCCTGGGTATTTTATGGGTTTTGGTGCAATTGTAAATGGGATCGATTCCTTGATTTCTCTTTCCGTCGTTTCATTGTTGGTATAGGATTGTTACACTTTATACTGCAACTTAAAAATGAAAGAATGACAACTGAGAGATTAAGAGGTTTGACCAAGGTCACACGCAAATGCCCGAGTACATACTGGTCTCGAAAGCCAGTGCTCCCAAACTAGATCACAGGAAAATGTCTGAACATTTTTCAGATGAGATTTTATTACTTTACTTGGGATATTTCCCAACATTCAGCATTTACAAAAATGTTAATGTCACACCTGAACTCAACTCACTGTAATAAAGCCAGCTCTGCCTTGTTTAGCCAAGGCAGAGTGAATGTCGATCGGTTCAAGAATTACTTCTCCTTGCTACCTACTCCAAATCCATGACCTCATATCTAATTCTTGCATGAACAACATCGGGAGTGTGGCGACGGGCTTCCAAATGCAGTTGTCATCCCAGTCTCTACCCCTGTCTGGACCTCCCAAGACATTAAAAAATATATATATACAGCTTCCTCAAAAACACAATAAGATATTATCTTAGTCCATTTGGGCTGCTAGAACAAAAATACCATATACTGGGTGGCTCAGACAGCAAACATTTATGTCAGTTCTGGAGGCTGGAGTACAAAATCAAGGTGCCAGCAGATTTGGTGTCTGATAAGGGCCCACTTGCTGCTTCACAGACAGTCTTCTTGCTGTGTCTTCACATGTTGGAGGGGGCAAGGGAGCTCTCTGGGGTTTCTTTTAAAAGAGTACTAATTCTATTCATGAGTGCTTCATCCTTATGACCCAAATCACCTCCCAATGATACCATCCACAAATACCATCACTTTGGGGATTAGGTTTCAAAATATAAACAAGGAGAAACATAAACCTTTGGTCTCTAGCAGATATAAATATTTAGGATGGCTATTATAAGACAAACAAACAGAAAATGACAAGCGTTGGCAAGGATATGGAGACATTGGAACCCTGTCCATTACTGGTGGGAATGTGAAATGGTGCAGCTGCTATGGAAAACAGTATGGCAGCTCCCCAAAAATTCAAAAATAGAATTACAATATGATCCAGCCAGTCTACTTCTGGGTACATACCCAAAGAAATGAACACAGGGACTTGAACACATATGCATACACCCACATTCATAACCAAAAGGTAGAAGCAACTCAAATGTCTATTGATGGATGGATAAACAAAATGTGGTATGTACATAGAATAGTATTCAGCCTTAAAAAGGAAGGCAATTCTAACACATACTATAACATGGATGAACTTTGAAAACATTACGCTAAGTTAAATAAAGCAGTCACGAAATGACAAATATTGTATGATTCCACTTACATGAGGTATCTAGAATAGTCAAACTCATAGTAGTAGCCAGAAAGTAGAGTAGTAGTTTCTAGGAGCTTGGGGCAATGGAGAATGAAGAGTCAGTGTTCAATGGGTA